TAGACAAACTTCCAGTATATTTTGTTATAAAAAATATTTAAGATATAAATCTTCGTTTTTTTTGTTATGTTGTGTTTTGAGTGGAAAAATAATAGGTGACTCAATAAATTAATACTGGGGAGTAAAGTAATTTAAATAATACAAAGTTTATTATTTTGCTTCATTTTATTAAAATTGTATAGGTAGTTTTAGTACAATAATTGCAAAATAATATATAGAAATAGAAAAACAAAAAATTTTGCCAAACTTTAAAATAGGATCAGCTGGGATTTTGATAAATACATGTTAGTGTTACCAAAAGGGTCTATCTATAATCAAAATATGCTATCAGTTTTGGTTGGCATTTTTTCCGTCCTATACTTAAGTTTTGACCACCGTGCATAAGACGTTAATACTAAGCATTGGCTGACTTGACTTTTAGCTGCTACTAGGCTAGAAGCAATTTGAGGATCTTCTTTCACACGTAACAAAATGTCAACTTGTTCACTAATACTCGGACGGCCAGGTTTTGGAATATCTTTGACATGTCCTTTCTATCTGAATTTCCGTTTAATTTTACTAACCGTAGCACTAGTAATAGGTCGATCTGGGTACTTTGCATTAAATAAATTAAAAATTTCTTGTTGTGTTCTGGTTTTATTGCCATATCCCATGAGAATTAAAACTTCAATTATCTGTGTTTCCGTGAAATAGCTCATATTTAAATACTTCCAAATATTTGGAGACAGATATTTCCCTGAACGCTCAACTAAAAGTTTTAACATCTCGTAATGAATATTTGTTTTAAATTAAATGCTAACAAAGAAATATAAAATAAAAAACTTTCATATTTCGGCACTTGCTGTTTGTGGAATAACAAAAAACAATTATAAACTGAAAAGGTTTGACCTTGAAACGAAATATTTTGAGAAAATTTTTACATTCCTTCTATATACACTTTTTAATTTTATCAAAACCCCATTAAAAAATCTTTTTATAAAAACTATAAAACATTAAAACATAAATGTAATTTAATGTACCTAATGTAATATTTCCACTTTTAATACCTAATTAATATCTCCAAAAAATAAGCCCAAAAGGAATAAATGTGGATATTGCTAAAATTACAATTTCATAATCTATTCGAATCTCCAAAAAAATTGTTGAATTTTTAAATGAATTTATTCCATACTTTTTCCGGTCACTGTATAAACTTAAAATCATTAGAGGTTTTGTTTCAAAAAATATCATGGTCCATGATTCATGGACTCATAAAATTTACATAACATATATATTTATTGTTTATTATTATATATACAATAGTTTAGCAATGAAACAAATTTAATTTTAATGCATTTTTCATTAAAAATGGTTAATTCCTTCTTCTCTATTTTCAATGTTTGTGGTTACTTCATCTCCATTGAAAACTATTGGATCCTCAATCAATTCTTTGGAATATTCTCTACAACCGCATTTTAAAACATGCCGTATGTAGGTTTTGTAATCATTATCAAGTATATACAAAATGATAAAATTATATATGGGATTTGCTAGGCCCAGGAACATTAAGAAAAATATGACCATGTAGTGGATCCTAAAGATTGGCACGAATATCATGGACAAAATTGTCGGAATATAAGATAGGAAAAAGGTGTTTGTTATTATGAAATTAAGTTGGTATTTATTGTCGGTGGGGTTGTTTCTGGAAAGCTTTTGCCTGACTAAGCTTACAATGTTTATAACTATTGTAAATACCACATATATTAAAAATCCAATAACCAGGATCGCGGAAGACATCCCCATTAAATAATAACCATTACCCAAGCAAGAATAAAGATGGACACCCGTGAGGAATAATAGGTTACAGTATACCATAATGATAAAAAACAATATATTCCTTCTAAATTTTTCGATTTTAACTGGGTCGTGTCTCGTGTAATACCAGTACATGGTGAGCAAAATAATAAATAACGTGTTGGATAGAAACAAGGAGTAACTCACTTCCTCCACAACACATAGGGCATTGTACATAATGAAACCGTATTCGAAATCCACTATCAACCTTAAAGACATGGGTGACAGAAACAAAAACAAGGCATTGGATATGCACCAATGCAGGATTATAATGTTTGATTCTTTTTGTCTCAGTCTTCTGTATTTAAGAGTTACGTAAATTATAAGTATATCTGCCGCTATGCATATCAAGGATAAAATGAAGTACGTTTCCAAGGCTATTCGGGTTAGCAACGGATCGTGGTAGCTGTATGTTTGGTTGGTTGAGTTGCCCGAGTCGTATTCACTGCCATTCATCCAGTTTTCTGTAGTTGTTTCCGCCTAAAATTTAAAAATATATATATTAAACTCATAAATAAAAAGAATTCGACTAAAAACACTTGACGTGACGAGAATCGCACCTGTGTTTATTTCTTTCATAATGCTACCTCACGAAAGTGAAGTGGCTAAACTTGTCGTGTGTAATCTGTATCCACGGACGTGGAATTTTGTTTTCCAGAGTATAATTATCGTTTTTTCTTAGGTGACCCAGAACGCGCGCCACAGAGACAAAGGGGGAGTGCTGATAGCAATAAAGATGCCAAATTTAAAAATGAAAAATTTCTAGGTATACCATGGGATATCATTGTATCCCCGATATAATAGCCAATTCTTATGTAAAATGGCCCCCTGAATCCGAAAATACCGTCAAAAATTATGAAAGTAGAGCATTTTTTGAGATATAGTCAATTCCATATTATATGGAAAATATCTCAAAAACTGTTCTACTTTTCTAACTTTTGACGACATTTTCGGATTCAGGGGACAATTTTACATGAAATTTGGCTGCTAAATGTTCGGGATACACATTGCTTTTGACGAGAATTATTAGTGGCCGCTTTTTCGCTGTGTTTTGACTAGTTCATTTTTAGAGGGAAATGAGAGCGAAAAGTACTAACCTTTCAAAAAGGAATGTTATACTTCAAGACGCCAATGTTTTAAAGTAAAAATTAACCAACTAGTTCTGTACCTTAGAGCCAAAATCTCTAGCAGCCACTAAAGAATTCCACTCTAGCGGGATTATCTTTCGGCTGCAGGTGCAGCACTCGCGTAAAATGAACGTCTGAACCGCGAAATTTTGAAAGGAAAATTCGCGTGCAACTTTTCTTATGCTCTTCCTACTATTTGCATCAAAGGCATTGAAAATAGACGTTTGGAAAAGCGCTGGGAAATAATCATTATTTCGGCATAATCAGAGGAAGAAACCATAACTTAAAATGATAAATAATGACAGTGTATTTCGGTCGACCAAATATTTGACATATTATAACATCAACAATGCATCCTAAGTATCCTAGCAATTTATACAATTCCCTATGGCCATCTATTGGGATTGTCTATCGCTCTTTATTCTTATCTAGCTTATCATTTGCCTTAGATAATTTTAATTTTCAAGTACGTAAAGTTATTGGACGATGAACATTAATATTGTAAAAACAATAGTTCTATAAATAATTACCTTAAAGTTAAATCATTAGATGACGCTGTATACAATTATAACTATCTCAGTCGGTAATAATATAGAACTACTTTATTTTGGGTCCAATATAGTACAAAAAAGTTTGCACGTTACTTGGGTGGTAAGATTTTTGTTTTTTTGTTAAGAGCAGGGCTGTGTTTAAATTACAATAAAAAATATTTCTAAAAAGTGTACAGATCAGTGTGTGGTATAAATGTGTTCCTCATGGTTTAAACATTATCACTTTAATGCGTTTTAATTTTAATTCTGAAAACAAACAGTAAAATGACCAGTGTCCAATTTCTGGTTGGTAAAAATGTAATTTTCTATTATTGGACATACGTCCAATATCATACTCTATTTATATCCCGGGCATTTACCAGCCAATTCTAATGTAAAATTGTCCCCTGAGTCCGAAGACCGTCAAAAACTATAAAAGTTTTTGAGATATAGTCAATTTCATACTATATTTAAAATTGATTATATTTCAAAAACTGTTCTACTTTTATAACTTTTGACGACATTTTCGGATTCAGCGTATAATATTTCATAGGAATTGACTGCTAAATGTCCTGGATACAAATTGCTGTTGACGAGAATTATTAGTGGCTGCTTTTTCGCTATGACATTTTTTACTAATTCATTTTTAGAGAGTAAGTAATATAGTGATTTCTTCGTCACAGGACATCTTGCAGAATAACAGTGATTTAAATACAGTGCATGATAGAGAACATAAAAAACTTATGGCAACAAAATTAATAAATTCGGAAAATACTTTTAACATACCACCCGAAAAAATATTAGATATATATAAATCATCCTGTTCCGGCCGAAATATTATAAATGCTTCACAAACTAGAGGTGCCAAACTTAATGATATTTGCAACAAACTATTTCAGAAGTCAGACCAAGGAATTATTAGTTACCTACAGAATCCAGAAAAGGGATGAGGAATTCGAGTAAGAAATTTATGAATTATATGATATTTACAAAAACGAAATAAAAAAAAAATTACCTAAAACAGCAATTTATCTTTAAAAAATATTTAACAATTTATGTTATTTGATGTAAAGTTATGTTTATATAAAAATTGTATGTCCAATAACTATGGTTCATGTGTCCAATTACTATATAAGATGTCCAATTACTATACTTTTTTGCATGTTTTTATAAAACTATTATTAAAAATTCAAATATTCTTATTTTTAAGAAAACGTAAATAAAGTTTAAACAAACAAACTATCCTTCTTATACCCTGTATGTATAGTAAGTTCAAAAAAAAAATTAAAAAACTCAATAAATGGTAACAATTTTATTAAGTATATAATATTTTAGGTGCAAAATACTTATTTATCACATTTTGTTTTACAAATTTTATACATTAATAAAGCAAATTTTATAGTAAGTAATGAAATTATAATGTAATTTCATTTTTTTAATCCAAAAAAATAAATATGGCTTTACGAGTTTTATTAATTAAAAACCTAAAATTATTTAAGTAAAGATACTTTTAACTTAAATTATTTTATACAACGTAATTTTTTTAATTTATAAACTCTTGTAGAAGGCATATTAAAGTAAATTAATAAAGTCAAACAATTCAATTTCTAAATAAAGTCAACATACCTACAACTGTAGAACTATTGTATAAGGTAACAATCCCTTAAAAAGTAGGCAAAAAACGATTTAACAAACTTAAATTAAATTTCAGCCGGCTAATGAATCACACTCTTTGGTCTTACAATACTTCCTTAAACTAAACAACCTAATTTATCACAACCTAGTATCTGACCCTAACGTCATCCAGTTCGGGCTGAAATTCTTCGGGATAATTATCAGCCTTGCACTTTAGGATATGCTTGGAGAAAAGATTAAAATCCCCGTCGTAGTTGTACAGAATAAATAGATTGTAGATCGAGTTGCATGAGCTTATCAGTCCAAAAATAAACAACACAACGTCCGACGTTTCGTATATCGACACCATTATGGCCCCAATCAATATTGGGACGTAGGATACAAAAAATACGTTAGCGAGGATGAAACTCGAAGACGTCTTCGGTTGCGTATTGTTTGAAGTGTATATAATCCTCTTTTTCAGCTGGTGAATGATGTTGATAATCAACATAAATATTATAAAGAACATAAACATGAAGACTGTAATAACGTTCGATAACCCTTCCGCGGTTCTTCTACTAAAACAGCTTTCTATAAATACCACCAAGAAAAACCCGGTTACCCCATAAATATAGCATAAAATGTAATTGAAATTCTTCTCGAGTTTTTCAAGTCTCTCCTTGTTGTAATAATCGTAATACCAATACTTTGTCAAGAGAATAACAAAAAATATAGTCAGCAATATCAAAGCATTTTCAACCTCCTCGATGATGCGAAAAGTGGTTTGCGGTACTCCAGTTTCCACCCAGTCCAAGCCCAGCCTTATGGTGCTCGGCTCAATGATCAGGTATACCGCTGTCACAATGGTCCAATGCAGTATGATTTTGTTTGATGTTTTTACTCTCAGTCTTTTGAAGTTTAATATTACCAGCGATATGATCCCATTCGAGATTAGTGACAGTATCGATGTTATGAATAGTACGGTGAGATAGACCTGTATGGTGCTCGAATCTTCTGGAATGTACTCAGCTATAGTGTCAGTCAGGGTTTCGTTGTCGAGTTCCATCTAAAAAATAATAAATTATATGTTTTAAAAATGTATGTTTTTTCCAATGTTTTTTTAATTTTTTTAAATATCGTGATAACCCCCCATACCGAACATTATTTGGGTCAGATGAATATGACCAAATTCATTACTTGTATTATTTTCAAAAAATAGGACGAAAATAGCGTTTAACTGACAGATAGATAACCTTAATTATACTAGTTTACAGCCATTTTGCCCACCATGTCTCACTATGATTTTCTTGTGTAGTTTGGCTCACTAAACGCGAGAATCACATTTTTTTTTAAATTTTCTAAAGTGTTTTGACGTTTTAGGGTATACTTTGAGTTCTAATTGATCGTTTTGACCAAACAAGCACTTAAATCAAAGATAATTGAGCCCTCTACAACTTTCTCTTGTATAGTTTTGGTATCGGCTCAGCAGTTCGATACTGGCGATTTTATGAAGTTGAAAAAGTCCTTTTTTTAAAAAATCGAGGTCTTAAATTTACATATCTTTCTGGGTAAGATAGTAGTTGAAAGGATAATTCCAGTTTGATTTATTTTACGTATAGATTATACTTAAAGCACAAAAATAAGCTGCTGTTTATAAAAATTTATGGATAAATGGCGAAGTTATGAATATTTCAGTGGAAGAGCAAATTTCAGTTTTTAGAGAATTTTCACGTTTTTTCTTCATTTTATTGAATTATATAAAATTTAATATTGAACATTGATTTTTATTATAAATATATTCATTTGCTGGTGAAAACGTTCTCCGCGCTCATCACTTACGTCGCCCAGATTGTGCGGGTTATTTACGCACTCGAACTCTCTACTTCTTTTACTCATTTTACACTTTTTATTAACTAAATAAAACCATGATAAAAATACCTTGTTAAATATCAAAAAATATCATTAAAATGTCACTATGACAACACTAGAAACAAAAGAATTCACGTTTGTGGAGTCATGTCAAATTTAAATTTTGAATAATGTTTTCGGTGAAAAAATAACGTAATAAACTCAAAAAATTCCAATCATGCACTTTATTTAGGTTTTAATTAAAGAATTAATATTTATAAAATAAAATAAAAAAAATAAAATAAAAATCCTCAAAAAGCTGAATTTCGGTCTTCCAATAAAAATTTATATCTTCGCCATGTTTTCATGTATTTTTATCAACATTAGCTTGTTTCTTTTGTAAAAATGTCAGGTTCACGAAAAAAAAATTCAAACTGGAGTTATCTGTTTGATTGAAACCTTTCCCAGGATGATATGTAAGTTTTCGACCTCAATTTGCTATTAAAACTATTTTTTTAAGTTATTAAAATCGCTAGCGTCAAAATACTTATCCGATATCAAAAGTATGTAAAAGAAAGTTTTAGGGGGCTCAAATACCTTCAATTTAAGGGCTTGTTTGACCAAATCGATGAATTAGATTTTAAGCTATACTCAAAAACGTCAAAACACCTCCGAAAATTGAAAAAAAACAATTGAAATTCATATTTCAAAAAAATTGAGTGTGACTTTCGGGTTTATTGGGTCAAAATACATGGGGAAATTATAATGGGATATGGTGGGCAGAATTTCTTTTCGATTTTGTAAACTAGTGTTATTTGTGTTTAAATGTTAAGGTGGGACTTTTTTTGATGACCTGACTGATTTGTTTTTGTCCAGGTATGTTGACGTAATTACATTTAACACCGTCAAGGGAAATGTTCAAAGCAACAATTTTAAATGGCAATTAATTTACTGTGATTCATATATTATATTTATACATATTTCTTTGGTCAAGGGGTCATTTAATTTGCAAAATGTTAATGACTATTTTTATTTCTTTGAATAATGTTTACTTTATCGGTTTCAGGCAAAATGGATGATAATTTTTTGACATACATTTTAGTACGTGTAAATGTGAAGCAAATGTTAGTAGGCATGCATCAAACCAATCGTATTATTAACATACCTCTTATAAAGACCCTTATAAACAAAACATTACATTTCCACCATCACCACTGCTACAGCTGTATACTAGTGTACTGCTGTATTAAATGTACCTAATCAAGTAATTTAATAAGTCAATATTCCATTTCATCGATCTGCCGTTTAAAAATGTACCGTCTGGAATAGTCATTTTCAGGGTCAAGTCGTTAATAAAAATTAAACAATTAATCTTAAACTTGACCAATAATGCAAGGTCCTAAACTAAAGAAAATAATGGAATTTACATTTTGTACTTTTTTTAATTTAAATACTTAAAATATAATATAAAAAAATCTCTTATTATCACCCACCCACTAATTTTTGTTAAATAATGACTAAGAATTATCTAAAAAGCACGACGGAAATTTTTATATTTCCGGTAATCTATCGCAAACTTTCAAATGTAATACCTAATAATTATTATGAGTTTATGTATACAGGGTGTCCCCAAATTCTATCCAAAACTTTTAAAAGGAAATAATAATATCTTAAAAATAGTGGGGTCATACACTGTTATAAAAATAAGATTTGTTAACATGAGTTTGTAGTTAGTTAATTTTATTTTGTAAAATTTTTACAAAATTTTTTGTATAATTATTTTAACAACGGAAAATATTTTACCGAGTTTTGTAAAGGTAAAATGCAAATTTGTAAGCATTTTGTTAATTTCAAAGGTTACAGATTATTTTGTTAATGTTTAACAAATTATTCCGTTGAAAAAGTACACGTGATTTCAGGCAGCCAATCAAAACATTTCCAAGCACACCACACTTATCAACAAATTGTGTCAGTGTCAATGGGTGTTTATAATATTTAACGGTGACAGGAGTTTTTATATCATTATTGGTTTTCAAATTAAAATTAGGCGATATAGTGAAGTTAAAGTAAATCAGTAAGTGTTTTAGTAGTACTGATAGTTATTGTATTTCTATATAATCAGATGATTTCAGAATGGTGTGTTATTTAATTTTGTGTATGTTATTTTTGTTTTCATTTATCTAGGTATGTGTTAATTATGTTTTATTTGGAAAATTGTTTAATAAAGCAACATTTCTTATAACAAATTCTCTTTTTAAAAGTTCCCAATTTACAACAAAAACTTGATACTGGGTCTACATAAAAGTTAGTAAAAAATACAAGAATTGTGGTTAAAATTGACATGGAATTTTGTAATTAAATCTACAAAATACCTGTAATAATTACAAACTACTAATTCAGTTAGTTAACAGATTACAGTTGGTTGTAAACTTAACAAAAAGTTATGTGGACCTGGATTAACATAAAATCTGGTTATTATTTGGTTTAATTTAACAAATATTTTTTACTGTGATGCAATGCCCTATAGCGCATCGCCCCCGTTTAATTTTTTTTAGTTTTATTTTATGAATACAACACGTTCTTAAAAACTTTTTTTCATATCTTATGCTGTTTGGACCCCTTAAAATTTTTCGGTGCATTTCTACAGTGTGGCCCATTTGTTTGCGACTCACACCTGTAAAATTTTAGTTTATTATGCGATTTTAACCGGATTTGTTTTAAAGTGTAGATCTTCTTAAATTGTATTTTTGGAGCAAAAAACGCCATTTTTGTACAAAATACAAGGCCTGCTATGTCAGTTTTTAAGAGTAAATTTTTAAGAATTTATATTAGCGATTTTTGTAAATAAAGTTTAGGCACGGCACTGAATTCACCACCCCTCAAAATTATTATACTAAATTTTATTGAAAAATTTTAAGTAGAAAAATGCAAAAAATTTATTTTGTCAAGTTATCCATAAAAAAACATTGAAATAAAATTAAACTTATAGTAAAACTACCATGTTACTATTAGTTTAATTTTATTTCAATGTTTTTTTCATGGATAGTTTTACAGAATAAATTTTTGTAGTTATTATTGTGCATTTTTCTACTTAAAATTTTTCAATAACATTTAGAATAGGGTCGTTTTGTGGGGTGGTGAATCCAGTGCCGTGCTTAGATTTTGTTTACACAAATCGCTAATATGAATTCTTAAGAAATTACTCTTAAAACTGACATAGTAGGCCTTGTATTTTGTAAAAATATGGCGTTTTTTGCTCCAAAAATACAGTTTATTAAGATCTACACTTAAAAACAAATCCAGTTAAAATCGCATAATAATTAAAATTTTACAGGGGTGAGTCGCAAACAAATGGGTCACACTGTATATTAGACTGGGCCAAAAAATTGACTATTTTTTTTTTTTGAAAAATATATCGAGAATGTTATTCGGAATGACAAAAAAAAATTTTGGTGAAAATTTGAGCCCTTAATATTAATTTTAAGAGGTCTATCATCGCTATTTTTGATTTTTAGTCATAATTTGATGTTTTACGTTAGAACTGTCAAAACATTGAAGTGAAAAAAATTCCTTTTCACTTATTTTTATATAAAATTAAATTCTCTACAAAAAAGGTTGATTGAAAATTTTCGTCAGACGAGCCGTTTCCGAGTAATTGAGCTTAATAAATCGATGTGTTTTTTCGATTTGCCCTTTTTACTTTGAAATTTTGTAACTAATGAATCAATGAATATTTAAAAAAGCTCACGTCGGATTCTTAAAGGAAATTTAATGTTCTACAAAAAAGGTCTCTTAACATTTTTGCCTAAATTTAATTCTTCAAAAGTTATTCACGAAGAAAAAATTGAAAATTTAAGATTTTCTTCGATTTTAATCGTGAATAACTTTTGAAGAATTAAATTTAGGCAAAAATGTTAAAAGACCTTTTTTGTAGAACATTAAATTTCCTTTAAGAATCCGACGTGAGCTTTCTTAAATATTCATTGGTTCATTAGTTACAAAATTTCAAAGTTAAAAGGGCAAATCGAAAAAATACATCGATTTATTAAGCTCAATTACTCGGAAACGGCTCGTCTGACAAAAATTTTCAATCAGACCTTTTTTGTAGAGAATTTAATTTTATATCAAAATAAGTGAAAAGAAATTTTTTGCACTTCAATGTTTTGACAGTTCTAACGTAAAACATCAAATTATGACTAAAAATAAAAAATAGCGATGATAGACCTCTTAAAATTAATATTAAGGGCTCAAATTTTCACGAAATTATTTTTTTGTCATTCTGAATGACATTTTCGATATATTTTTCAAAAAAAAAATAGTCAATTTTTTTGGCCCAGTCTACTGTATATTATAAAAATATATAAATATTGCAAGGTGAAATTTATTTGCATCCTTGAACATGTGCTTTATAAAATAATTGCATTACCTACATGTTACAATTATTAGTAATTTTAATGTTAAATTTATTAGTTTTGCAATTCAGTAAAATACAATTTAATTTAAGTTTTTTCGGTATGATTTTACTTTAGTAATTCCAATAAAACATAATTTGCGGTCAACTCAAATTAATGTTTTCATCCTTTTTCATAATAAAAATAAAACAAGGTCATACTAATCGTATTTTTTAATCAAATTATATTGTTTTTTTTTCTTTTTGTTATTATTGTTATTAAGTTGTAAGTAGGCTTAATAAGGCATTTTATTATATATTGTTTGACAATAGGTTTATTAAAGTAAAATTAGTTAAAAAAACTATACTAATCTTTTAATCTAACTTTTAATATTTAAAAAAAATACGGTAATTACATTTATTGAAAAAATTAAATTATAACAAAAAATGATGCAACATTTAGTTACTAAAAATCCAAAATTGATTACTTTTAAAAAGGTTATCAACTGAATAAACAGGGTCAAATTGGCTTTGTCAATATCATATTTTAAAAAATATTTGCTATTTCAAACGAAAATAAACTGATTATGCATTAATATTATACAGGGATTTCAATTCATAACTAGACACCCTTAATAACTTTTGACTTATAGTAAATATGATATTGAGCAAAAACAGGTCTAAATATCGAAAACCAATTTTTTTTTTAAAAGTCCCCCGATGGTGTTTAATAAAACTAAATAAGTTTGTTTTATTGTGTTTTGATCTTTCATAATTAAGTAGATATTACAGCTCGGGTTCCAGATTTTTAATCGCAATTAATTATTTTTTACAATGTTTTAAAAGTCTAAAACCTATCCTCCGTGACTATTACTCTGTCTAGGTTAACCTATATGTTTTCAAATATCTAAGGTAGTAAAAGCATACTAAAAATATCAGTTCACTAAGTAAATTAAACACATCCAAAGCAATCGAATCAAATATTAAATATTATTAAAAATTAAAAGAAGTAATTTTTATAACCATTTATGTAGGTGTTACAAAAATTAATTCTATCCTCCGTGAATCTGTTTTTGCTTTAAATTTTATGTAACGGATGGCGCGTTAATCATTTTAAATAAGCAAAAACCTCTGTTTACGACATTATAGATGCATGTGATTCCTAAAGGTCAGTTAAAATTTATATGCAGATGAGAGTGTTGCTGTTTTATAATTCAAAAGTTTAAGTTCATTAATTTGCTATTTAAAAACCTATCCACCGTGAAGGGTATTATCTCAGTAAGTAATTTTTTTTATAAATATTTTAATAACTTATTTAAAATATTCAAAGGGATGTTTAAAAAACATACTAAATCCTAACCTCCGTGAAGCTATCTTCCGTGAAGCTCTAATATTCAAAATGTATGATTTCTTAAAATTCCTGCATTGGTGCAGAACCACTTATGTTATGTTATGTTATGTTATTACTAGACCTGGTGGCTTCCCAAAAATCCCATTCTAGACTAACAGTAACACAACCAAAAATAAAAAATAAAAATTTTTACTTGGGGGACATCTCAATATATTCACCCATACATATCATATGGACGAAGAAGGAAACATTTTGATTGATGAAGGATATTTGTATTTTCAACAAGTTAGAGAATGGTTGAACCAGGTATCACGATAAATGGATTGGTAAAAGAGGTTCTTAGCAATGGCCGGCAAGATCTCAAGATTTGACGCCACTTGATTTTTTTCTTTAGGGTCATTTAAAAACACAAGTGTTCAAAACACCACCTAAACATTCGAGAACGAAGAAAAACTAGGCATATTTTTTTTAAATTCTTGTTAAAGAGAGCTAAAATACTACATATCTGAAAAAGATTGCTATGGAAACAATTAAATATGGCAACACTGTTGTTGACATGCTCGATAGTTTGTTAAAAAAACTACTTGGAATTTTTTTATACCTAAAATATCTCCTGTAAAATATTTTTGGTATAACTGAAACCAGTTTTTTCCGCGTCAAAATGTAAATTAAAAATCCCAAAAAGGTATGGGTACCTTGACCCTAAAATAAACTGGCTAAGTATTTCATATAGACCTTATGATAGAGGACGAAGAAATTTCATTGATTTCAGCGGTAAATGATAATTTTAAGTCTTTAACCATGATAAACGATTAAGAAATCTAAATTTGTTATTTTCAGTTCTTAGACATATTTTCAAAAGCTAGGTTTTTATAATAAAATTCGCTAATTTAGCAATTGTATTAAAAGATGTGGGTTATATTTATTTCTATGAAATTATTCCCTAGATATCTAAAAATAAACTTATCTGCATCAAACAAATAAACAAACATATTATTTCAGAAACGTACAAAAAAATCTACTTACATTACTTAAATTTAATTCGTCCATATTACCATGACCGTGATCCATACCATGACCGTGATCCATATTATTCCTTTTAAAGCGAAATCACAAATAACTAACTGGTCGAATTACAATTTTGTCACATTTTAAAACATTAACGCTGTCGATAAGTTAACAATGCATAAAAAAATATATAAACAAACTTATGTTGCTCGATTCTCTTGAAACGATTGCTAGCCACTGCAATGAACGATTATTTCAAATCTGGCTACACAATACTGAAGGTTAAACCAAACTTACCATAGGCGGAGTTTATGCAATACTATGGGGATTAATATAATTAACAATGGTTATTTAAAATGACACAAGCCAGTCTAAATATTATAATTAACAAATTTCGACACAACTTATTTAAAAAGGCAACATGTAAACGGCCCAATAGATTTATCTGTTTGTACAATGTTATAAAAATCAGATTTGTTAACATGAGTTTGTAGTTTTTTTTTTTTTTTTAGAAGAGCTTTATTTCTAACCCTTAAACAGTTTACAAGAAAACTGGCACTAGGGATAATTTTATAAATTTTGTGTGGCTGTGAAACCCATAATTTAAGCCATTAAATGCATATAACCCTGTGATTTTAATATAAAAATCCTTCATAACTCACCTAACCCATTTAACCTCATAACTTTAGTCATTGTACATTTTCCCATAACCCCATAAACCAAATTAGGTGGTTTATGGGGTTAAAAGGGTTACCTATTGGGTTTAATAGCTTGGGTTTTCAGATTACAATTTCTTCCTAAGGATTATATGTTTAAATAGATTATGGGGTTAAGTGGGTCATGGTGTTAAGGGGTTAAGTGAGTTTTAGGGTTATAAGGTTTAGAAGCTTGGGTTTTTAGACAACAACTTAATGTTTATGGTTATATGCGTTTAATAGCTTAAATTATAGATTTTTTGAGGTTATGGCAAAATCCTGATGTGATTAGGTTAAATAGACCTCAGATTCGGATTCAGCGACCCCAAAAATATATAATAAATATGGCCAGACCCCCAGATCAAAACAAATTTTTTTTGTGTGTGGCTGTAATTATACGAGGTGTGTTCAGAAAATAACGGGAATTGTTAAATTTCGCGGCTTCGGAGGGTCCGGTTGTCATGAAATTTTCTTTATTATGTTCGTATACATGCCCCCGAAGTATGATAAAAACTTTAGCTGTTTTCATTGTTTACTTTGTCTGTGGCAGCCGCTAAGGTTGGACGTGTTTTATGAGCTAGGCGATTTTCGTTCGTTAAAAAAAATGGATCAAAGAATTTGTATCCAATTTTGCTTAAAAAATGAAATAAATTCTCTGAAATCTTAACAAAGACCTATAGTAAGTCTGCTATAAGTAAAACAAGAGTTTACAAGTGGTATAAGAGTTTCCAAGATGGCCGTGAAGACGTTGAAGATGACGAACGCCCCGAACGCACAAGCACATTAACAACCGATAAAAACATGGAAAAAGTGGAAGAAATGGTTATAAACCATCAGAGAAGTCGCTGATGTTGGTATATCGATTGGCTCATCCCATGAAATTTTTTCGAATGTTTTGGGTATGAAACGCGTGGCAGCAAAATTTGTTCAAAATTTGTTAAATTTTGAACAACATTTTTGGCCAAAAACAATACTGTAATGATGCCCCAGCCTCCATATTCGCCAGACATGTCTCCAAAAATTAAGAGAACCTTAAAGGGCCGTCGTTTTGCAAGCATAGATGACATTAAAAGCGCATCGCTGAATGAACTAAAGGCTATCCCAAAGATCGAGTTTTAGAAGTGTTTCGAGTATTGGAAGAAGAGCTGGCACATGTGCATAATATACAATGGGGACTATTTTGAAGGCGACTACATTAATGTAGACGAATAAATAAATATTTGTTTCAAAAAACGAAAATTCCCGATTTTTCTGAACACACCTCGTATTGTACCAAATTTCTTTATAATTTACTGATTTGAGAATGGTGAGTTCTTTAATTGTGTGTATGTTATTTTTGTGTTCATTTATGTAAGTACCTATGTTTTAATTTTTTGTTGAGGAAATTCATTAATAAATTCACATTTCTTATCAAAATTATCTTGATTTATTTTCCCAATTTACAACAAATACTTTTGTTACTGGGTCTACAAACAGGTTTTTAAAAATAAGGTCCTATTTGAAAATTAAGAATTATGGTTGAACTATTGACTTACTATTTTGTTATTAAATCTACAAAAAATTTTGTATAATTACAAACTAAGATATTTTCAAAATACAAAATGTAGGTATTATAGTTCAGGTTTCCACCCTGTAAACCTTTTCCATGCATTAGCGCACCAATTGTTATTTATTTATTCATTGTTTTTTTCTAGAGATACAAATTTACTTAAATTAAAGCAGCGCTGTGTACTTAATATCAAGTACATATTACTTATATTTAAATAATTTGCATGTACTCACTTTGTTTACCTAAATATTGAATAAAAAAGTATTAACCTCTTTATCTATTATTAGATAAACTTGATTTGGACTGTTTTTATAAACAACATTATTAAAGATTTATTTAAATTGTTGTTTATTTGTATGGTGCTAAAAAATATTTACTTCTTTTTACTACATGCGATTTTTTTTAATAATAAGTTTGATTTAACTAACCTTGGATTTATTTGTGAAATAAAAATCTGCCGAGTATATTTCATACAATTTAATGATTTAAATGATTTTTTTTATAAAAAATTAAATCATGAAATAAAAGTCTATATTGTTTCCAAATTTATTAAAGATACCTATCACAATCGACACGTTTAATACCTAATAAAAGCAGCTGTATTTTTTGTTTTTAAACCTGTTAAACGAAATCCTTAACGCGTTATATTTTCATTTGAATTTAAATTCAAATTAAACCTATCGTCTGCCAAATTTGTGCCTTCAAAAAAGGCATGTATGGACTTCTTAATATCCACATTTATTAATTATTTATTTGTGAAATAAAAATATGCCTGCCTATATTTCATACAATTTAATGATTTCCATGATTTTTTTATTTAAAATTAAATCATGAAATAAAAGTCCATATTGTTTTCAAATTTATTAAAGATACCTATCACAATCGACACGTTTAATACCTAATAAAAGCAGCTGTATTTTTAGTTCTTAAACCTGTTAAACAAAATCCTTAACGCGTTATATTTTCATTTGAATTTAAATTCAAATTAAACCTATCGTCTGCCAAATTTGTGCCTTCAAAAAATGCATGTATGGACTTCTTAATATCCACATTTAATTTTCTTAGTAAAAAGATTAAAGATAGGGAGGTGCTGTACGCTAATATTTCCGTTAAAATTTTCGTGTAAAAAAGAACCAAAGAAAATGTCTCGTGATTTATAAAAGCGATCATAAGATAATGGTATATAAAGCTTGGCATCCAGGAAAATACTACAAAATTTGAGATGAAAAGAGTGGGTGAATTTTTGTTTGGCTCGTTGGGTACATTTCTGCAACACTTTAGTACAAGAAGAAAAATGTTAAACAATAAAATTAAAAAGTAGATGAAATTCAGTAAATTGTAACGAATTAATAAAACCTGCGGTACAAAGCAACTGGCGCTCGTTATAAAAAATGTTAAAACCCCGGTTAAATATAAAACTAAAATGATATATTTTCCCACGTTCTCGTACTGCGGAATTAATTCGGGCCTAAAGGACGTAATAAACCAATCAACTGCCAGTAAATTGATCATCACGAAAGACAAAAATAAGCACGCATCGTCCATTTCGAAGACCACGCAAAAAACAAACACATCGTACCCCCACTTTTTAATAAAAAGCTGTAAAATAACGTAAGCAAAGTACGCTGCGTTCGTTATGCAGTAATGCGTTACGTATTTATTAATTTTCGTTTTTAGTTTCTTAAATCTAAAGTTTATCAGGTATATTAAAAACGAATCCGACGCAATTGAAGCGATGTAAAGAACGATTTTTATAGCGGAAAAAATTGGCACCAGGTGGTCTAAAACGACGTAGGGTGGGTCAGCGAGATTTCGAAATCCATGTTCTCTTAGCTCGCCGAAAGGGTCTTCTTTAATGTTTGTAAAATTTTCCGGAGAAGCCATGTTCTAAGTCGTATAGATATTCTGTAACAAAGAAACATGGCTGGTAATGCAATTTTAAATTGGTTGACAACTTTAAATCCTTTAAAAAATTTGCTAAGGCGGATTTATATAATTCACTAATTGGAATGTATAAGCCAATTTATCAAAAGAATAGAAAAATATAATTTTTAAATCATGTACCAGCTTTGCATTAAAAAGTTTAAAACTGCAAGGTAATTATAAAACTTTAAAATTAACAATTTTATTTTATTTATAAAGAACTCTTTATATATACATGGTGTCCCAAAAGCCGCGTACCACCTTGAATTGTTACAAAGATTGTACCTTTATTATTTAAAACTTAAAAAATAATGTAGATGTGGAAAGTTCGGATTCACAACTAATCGCATCAAAATTTAATAATTATTTTTTAGAAAGCATAACTGAAATAGTGCAATCAATTAAAATAAAAAATTAATATAAAGTAATATTGGACAAAATTGAGAAAAAAAAATTAAATGACAGCAATTCAAAATATAACAATGTATGAATTAAGAACAATTATAATGAAATTAAAAAACACAACAAATATTGAAGATTTAGTAAGTACAAGAATTATTAAGGACTCATTTCAAGTTATTGGTAGCCGTTTTATTGATGGTGTGCCTCAGGGCACTGTACTTGGTCCTATTCTTTTCAACTTATACATCAATGATATGATTCAATGTGTAAAGGTTTGTAAATTGCATATGTTTGCAGATGATACAATGATGTATATAACAGGTGATAATTTAGATTATGTATGCTTCAGTGTATTAATGATGATCTTAAATTATTGTATTCTTGGCTCTGTGATAGTAATTTATGTTTAAATTTTAGTAAATCCAAATATATGTTGATAGGTAAAAAATATTCTATTTCAATATTTGGAAATATTTTACACGATGTTAAAATCGACAACATTTTAATTGAAAAAGTGCATGATATCTTGGAGTAAATATAGACGATAACTTAAGCTTTAAAAGTCATTCTTTGTTAATAATGAATAAAATATCAACAACAAAAAATTTTATAAGGCGAGTAGGAAACTATCTTAGTATGTTTTTTATGTATATACAAACGTTTAAATATTTA